GTGTGTGTGTGTGTGTGTGTGTGTGTGTGTGTGTGTGATGGCTGTGCAATTTTATTACACACGTTTCTAAAAGTTTCGGTTGCTGCTGCGTTTGTTTTGAACCGTTGCATGGATTGTTTGTGGAATGCGAATTTCTGGTGACTTTAGGATAACATTACCCTCATTTCATTCCGAGTCGTGCTGCAATGATTTGTTGCATCTGTCAACTACTGGTGGCTCGATGCTCCTTTCAGCATTGTTAATCTGATGCTTAGATAAATATTCTTTGCTGTGTCTGTAACATCTAGCATATAGAATTTGTTGCCCTGGTTTCGATTTCTGTTATTGACTTACATGCTGTTGAACGGATTTAACTCGTATCTTTGATTCTTTTTTCTGCAGGCTCAGATTCTTATAGGTTCCAGAATACCGTTGTCTGCTTTGTCGTAGGCTAGGTTATTGCATTTGACTTTGAACTTTGGGGCAAACTGTGGTAGAAGATACAAACATTTTGTGGGAGTTAAAACTGTGATGCATCATTTCTAAATGAAGTCAGCTCAGGCATGGCGTCTTGGCATGAAAAACATGCAAATGCTGCCAGGGCCTCGCCAGCGTGGTCAATTGAAGAAGCCAACGTGGATTATTGTGTTGGTTTCTTTAGTTAGCTTGTTCTTAGTTTGTGCTTATGTCTATCCTCCTCAGAATTCTGCAGCGTGTTACTTGTTGTCGTCTCATGGCTGTAAGACATTACAAGATTGGCTTCCGCCCGTGCCTGCTAGGGAGCTTAGTGATGATGAATTTGCTTCTCGTGTTGTGATTAGAGATATTCTGGCTATGCATCCTAATATTTCTGCAAACCCCAAAATTGCATTCCTGTTCCTGACACCAGGTGCACTACCATTTGAGAGGCTGTGGGATAAATTTTTCCAGGTATTTGGTTTTCTTTCTTATGCTGATGCACTCGTCTGCAAAATTGATACATTGAAATCTTGGTGCAAGTAGGATGCCTTTTCTAAACGTGTAGCATGATTGGAAGATTTTTTATTATGCGGATGAGTTCACAAGAATGGGAAATAAGGATATTTATAAATGTGTTTTGTTCTACTTTGTGTTTTTTGTATTTCACCTTGAATGATATCTTTTTCCTAAAGAATTCTGTCTATCCGGCAGGGCCATGAAGGTAGGTTCTCTGTCTACGTGCATGCATCCAAGGATAAACCTGTACATTTTAGCCGCTATTTCATCAATCGGGAGATTCGTAGCAGCAAGGTGTCTTCCTCAATTCTTTACTTTCTTTTTTTTTACACAATCTGCGACAAATATAACTTCTGTTTATGCTAAAGTAATTAATGATAGTTTAAAGAACTGTGTATTTTTACACAGAAGTGGGTCATTTTCTGTACATCTGTGTTACTTCACAAGTAACTATGAGTCTACACACGACAAAATAAATTCGCACAAGTATTACAGACAGATGTATACCAGTTTTTTTTTTTTCTTTTTTTTTTTTATTGTTATTCTATTATTAGTATTTTTTTTAGGTAAATCTGAGTAATTCTTAAACATGTAGATTGTGAAAAGGAACATTTCTAGTATATGGATATTTTATTTTTTGGATACATGAGTATCTAAATATGCATTGAACTTGTTTTGGATGTTGGTGAGCTAATTCTTATGATTTTTTATTTAAAAAAACTGGATACTCTTAATTGAGGTGATATATAGTCTTATTTTCCGCACTGGCAAACTTTTTCTAGATTATTACCATTTTGTATCCGTCTTGTAAATCTAAAGTCGAAGGCTGTGCCACTTTCAGTAGAACTGAGACTTCAATTAGCTGAATATTTGTTCGCGTCTATCATTTGCAGGTCGCATGGGGAAAAATTTCAATGGTTGATGCTGAAAGGCGGCTTTTAGCAAATGCACTAAAAGATCCAGACAACCAGCATTTTGTACTACTTTCAGACAGGTTGCTACAGAACAGTCTTCTGTCAGTTTTTCAAGTTAGTGTTATTTTGGCAGCTTGTGTTATTCAAATGCTAATGTAGTTTTGTTCTTTCCTGGACTGCAGCTGCATACCGCTTCGAGATTTTGATTATGTTTACAACTATCTCATGTACACAAATGTTAGCTTTGTAGATTGGTAAGTTGCAATTTTCTTGGGTGAACTATTTTCTTACGATAGGTGGCTGTACAATATTTGTTATGTGCTGGGGTTTTAGTTCTTTTAGTTACCACATAAGCTTGCAAAGGTGTGGAGTTCAAATGGTTGAACAATTAATTCCCCTTTAGAAGTCGTATTTGCTATATATACTATTGTGATACAATAAAAGATAAATATCTTATCTGGCGACTGGTCAGAGTTTGTATAGAAATCCTCTGAGGTTTGATTTAGATACAGTAAGGGTTCATTAAGGTTTTTGAATGCACCGATATTTGTTAATTTTGATGGACACAAACAACCTTTGAAATTATGTTTGGGTTTGATATAAATATTAGTATTCCTCTTAAGGTTTCTAAAATTATGTCTACAACTATGTGCAAATATTGGAAATGGTGGGTAAAATTTTAAAAACCGAAGTGTTATGTGTTATTTAAACAAAATCGCAAGTGTTTTATGGAGATTTCCCTATTGATAGTCTGGTTAGCCAAAATTATTCTAATCTAGTTTGGATCTTTGTCACATTCAAGCTAGGTTATTATTTTACTTTCGACAACACTATGTTTGAGTGCACCTTTAAGGTGGCTAGACATGTTAAACTGTGCTGGATGTACTTATCCAATGCTATGGCAATGTGCCTGCCAACATTGAAGTTTCAGGGTTTCTATGCCTATCAGCATTGAAGTTTCAGGGTTTCTGTCTTATCGTACAATGCCTATTCATTGACCCTCTAAACTGATACTACTTTCTGTTTGCTCTGTTTAATTACAATTGTGGTATTTAAGCCTACCTTATTCAAAGGTGAATATGGTTATACTAGAAATAAACACGGAACCTAATTTCTGCAGCTTTGATGATCCTGGTCCACATGGAACTGGCAGATACAGTGAAAATATGTTGCCTGAAGTAGAGAAGAAAGACTTTCGGAAGGGTGCTCAGGTGTCATTTCATATTTTGTATTTTGTACACATTTATATTAGAAAACACTAGAGTTAAGTGATTTCATTTGTTTCATTGAGTGTTTTATTTTTATTTTTTTTACTATCTTTGCTGCAATTATAAAGTTCTTGTTGGTTTGTAGCAATGTGGCATCACACAAAGAAGTAGATGGTCATATTCTCGTTAGTGATAATATCAGAAAATGTAGGTGATTCTTGGGAAGATGGATGTTCTTTAGGAAGTGAAAGCTAAAAAATTCTACGCACATAACACTTCTCAGATTTGAAAAAATATAGTGTCTGCTCGTTGATTCACAATCTGGGTTGCTGCTTGATTTGGTTTCTACATCTTGGATTGTCCCACTTTATAATTTACCTTTTCCTTTTTTTTTTTCCCAAATGCAGTGGTTCACTATGAAGCGACAACATGCTCTTATAATCATGGCTGACAGCCTCTACTACAGTAAATTCAGAGATTATTGCAGGGTAATATAAGTTCTAATTTTATAATGTATTTTACCAGATATTTGGTCGTTTACTCCTGTGTTCTGCTTGGACCTGTAGTGGTGGTTGTCATATTTTCTTGTCATTCTTGCCCTATGTCTTGGTAGATTTATTCGTATAATAGTAAGTTAGTAACACATGTTATTGAGATTTGAGTGACTATAGTCAATTGTTTCTTTGGATTGAACAGCCAGGCATGGAGAAGGGACGCAACTGTTATTCTGATGAACATTATCTACCTACTTTTTTCCATGTGAGAACCATTGTACATTTCGATTTTCGTGCTAATGTCATCCTCTATCATTTCCTCTGTTGTTCCATTATAATTTTGCTTATTATTTCTTTTACCATTTAAGATGCTTGATCCGGGTGGAATAGCCAATTGGTCAGTAACCCATGTTGATTGGTCTGAGGGCAAGTGGCATCCAAAGTCGTATAGTGCACAAGATGTAACGTTTGAGCTGATGAGAAACATTACAGTATGGCCTGACCCTCATATATAATATATAGACTCACGCATGCACTCATATTTTCGATTGTCAAAACTGATTGCACATAATAACACAGAATTTGCCAGTACTATGAACTGACAGTTCTTTTCCGACTAATCTTGCAGTCCATCATGGACAGTGTGCACGTGACCAGCGAGGAGAAGGTTAGTTTTAGTTTCATCTCTACTTGGCCAGGGTAAGTTATCTCAGTTTTATGATTTTGAATTATTCCTATGTAAATGCAGAAAGAAGTTCAGATCAGACCATGCTTGTGGAACGGAAACCCACGACCCTGTTATTTGTTTGGGAGGAAATTTATGCCTGAAACCATCGAGAAGCTAATACGGCTCTTCCCCAATTATACATCTATTTGAATCAGAGGCATTGACTTTCAGTACTGATGTTTTTGGTCAATTTCAAGTGGCAGCATAGATTTGTCACCATTTCTTGTGTAGCATTCTGCTTTTTGTAAGTAAAGCACCTACAGGATCAGCTTTTATTTCTTTCCAATGCAAAAGGGTGGCGTGAAAAGGTAATTTCGAAAGAAGCCGAAGGTAAAGAAATTGCGATTATTGATTGATGTGGGAACAAAGAATTTGATGTTTCATTTTTTCCCTCTTTTGTCGGGCAATTTATGTTACATTCTGATGTTGGAACAGAAAATCTGGGTGACTAAGGACAGTATTTCTATTAGCTGACCTAGAAAGTTGGATTATAAAGTTGCAAATATCACTTTTGCAGTCAGATTTTTCATTACTTTCTTTTTTCTTGGTTTTATTTTTTGTTTAGTAAATTTTGGGTCATTTTTCCATTTTTGTTGATTTTAGTCATTTAGTACTGTTCCAGGCTGTAACGAAGAGACTAAGATATATCTGTAAGAAGATAACTACTTGTTACATATATTTTGCAACTTCAACATCAGTTGTGTGGTGGATTATTTTGATGCAATATTGCTACTTCTGTTTTGGCATTTACCAATCTACACGTTGAGCATGTAGTTGAAATTTGAAATATCATGAGATTTCGACAAGTGACTAGTAATATGTTTGCGGTAGTAAGCGAACAATTTCGAGTATTTACCATGACGTTTTTATGTCCGTGTCTGATTTTGCTCTTGGTGGTTATGTGAGCATTTGCTGGCATTTACCATGATACTATGTTCTTCTGTCTGTGTTCGATTTTGTTTGTATGATGTTGATATGCAGTTTTTTTTCCTTGTGACTTAGTTTTCAACTTGATTAAACTTAAGAGCTTAAGAATAGTGTGAAAAATGGTGATAATTTTGGAAAAATTGAAATTAACCTTGGTGGTGTAGCTTGAACTGTATTCTTTCAGATTTTAATGATGACGTTAAATTAATTGATGGAACCTCCGAAGGAGGTGTACTCTGTTAAATCCACTTAACCAGTAACTAACCTTTTGATAAAAAATTATTAGAAAAATATTTTGGATAAAAAATAATACGGCAACACAAAATTTCAAAACTAGACAAATAGTCATTTATTATGCACTTATTTAAAAATTATTAATATAATTCTTTAGTCAAATCATATATATATGGTAGTAAGACTAAGACTATTATTATTGGGAGATTGTACGGTTCTGTTACGGAACCATTCCGTCGGGTTTGTAACAATTATATCAACTATCCTCGACGGTTACATGATGATCTAACAATTACAAATCTCGACGGAATGATTCCGTGACGGGACTGTAACATTTTCCAATATGACTAAGACTACTATTATGAGTGTGTTGATGTTAAAGATGAAACGTATAATTACTTGCGAGTGCGCGAAATGTAGTACGAACGTGGATAAACAACGTAAATAGCGGAAGCAATAAACCGAAGATTTTAAAACTCCTCAGGGAAGCGTCCCACTTCCCCTCAGAGCTCTTTCATTGATAAACCGTTCACACTTGTATAGTTTGGACTTACACGACTCGAACTCCCTTCTAGTCTAGCCACAACTACACACGATCCTATCAACTACTTCTCCGGCCATGTCCCGTGGACTTTACACACTCGAATCCCTCGAGCAAAACCCAGTACTTAATCCCTAACACTAAAATAAAGTGTTTGTAAAAGAAAAGAAACAAAACGAGTTCAGTTCTTCAGCAATGTAAGAACGCTGAAAAACTGGACCGAATAAAATAAAAATAATAGAAACTCTCAAACACTCAATTGAAGCTGATGAATGATGAACTTGATTTGCAGCATCTCTCTTCACTTCAATTGATTGCTTGAGTAGGCTTATATACAACCTCCTTAAGGTAAGGAGTCTTCACAGTTCTTCCTTTACCTTTTAGGAGTCAATTTCCTTATCAATTGATTCATTTCTGATTTGGACGAAATCCTCCATGTAAGGTAAGTTTCCTTGATGTAGAAATCGTGTATGTGATTTGGAGATCTTCAGAATTGAGCTTCCAATGGAATCTTATGTTTTCAGAATCTGGTAAGAACATGACTTTCTAAAATTAGCCGATCTTCCAAATCTTCAAAGATCTTGTAGTGAATCTTTCCAAATCCTCCTTAGATCTTCTCATGAACGTCCAGAACTCTTCTTGTATGGAAAACTCATCCTTTCATAGTCCTTGCCACCTATTCCTTGTCCTACAAGCAAAAGAGAACTAATTAGGAATGTGGCATACATGGTAAGTAAATATATAGGATATATATTATGTAATCCTTCTTCTAAAGGATTAGGATTCCATAATACATACTACAATAAATATATATCATATATTATTAATAATAAATATTAGAAAATTAATTAAATCATAAGTAAATAAATAGAAAAATTTCCCTTTAATTTATTTTGCTTGCTTAACAAGAAATCTTCTAGAAAACACTTACGTTTGTCGGACATGATGCCAAACCAATGTTCTTACAAAAAAAAATAGAAGTTATAATATAATATATCAATCATAATACTTACTTTTTGTTCAATATAAAAGTCGACGGTATTTTGTCAGAAAAAGAGGAACAGAAAAAAGTGTAATATCATTTTTATTAACTTAGCACAGAATTATCTCATTTTTTTTTGAGTCATTCCACACTCAACATTCATCCCACATAATGATAAAAAGAAACGTAAATACGAATACATCAACATAGACAAAAATTCGTCCCGCCAATTTAAAATCCCCAACTAAAATCAACAACACATTAAAACCAAGATAACTAAACAAAGAAAAAATCATACCTCAATAAACATGAAAGCTAACTCAATACCCATGGTCATCACCACCACAGTCCTCATTTTCTCCGTCACAACGGCTGCGCAGCCGCCCGCCGGAAAATTGGAGTCCATCGAGGAGTGTCTGAAACTCCTCCTCGGCCCAAATCCGAAGGCCGGCCCAATTTCCAAATGGAGACCCATTAAGTATCTGAGGACACTGGAAGAACTGCCGGCATTCAAGAATAATCCGGCGAAGCTGAGGACTTACCTCTGCGGACTTGGTCCGGCCAAGAAGACGGCTGAGAAGTTTGGATGTAGTAAGAAAATTGTAATTGGGAGGAGTTAATTGTAGTAAATTCGAAAAAACATGAGCTTTTCTTTTTTGCGGCACTTTCGAAATCCTATCCCTGTGCTGTAAAACCAAACATCGTCAAAACGAAAACACAAATTCTTATGTTAGGCAGCCTAACTTAACCTTTAGGCGGGTCGACCCATCTCACTTGTTTTTTTTAACAAAAAATGCATAACCGATCAAGCTAGTAATGCCATCCTTTGGCCCTCCAATATCTCTGCGCATTCTCATTAACACGGGCCTTCCTCAACTTGAGGAAAAGCTTATACGCCATCTCCACTTTACCCGACTCCATCAACTTATTCTTCAACTTGCTACAAATAACCTTTCCCGGGAAAAATCCCCTACCGATACATTCCTCCATAACACGAGTCGCACTTTCAAGCCTCCCCACATTGCACATTCCATTTACCACACACTCGTAAACCTTCACATCCGGAGAATAACCACTCTCTTGCATTTCACCCCACAAACTCAAAACCATTCCACACTTGCCAAACCTAGCCAATCTAGCCAACAAAAGCTTATAGGCCGTGGCCGATATTTCGCACCCCGCTTTTCGCGCACTCTTATATATCACCAATGCAGCATGAGGTGGGCCATAGCTACACAAAGGCTCGATAAATCGAGTCACGGTCCCCGTCGGTGGAATTATCCCCCGGCCGAGCATTTGATCAAACATCTCAATAGCATCCGCGACTCGTCTCCTTTTGAGAAAACACGTTATGATTCTAACATAAGTGTCTATATTCGGCTCGAACCCTTCGCTCAACATGCGTTCGAAGTGCTTCAAGGCCTCTTCAACATCCTCATTACAGATAAAGTTAAAGATCATGGCATTGTAAACCTCCACGCTCAACGAATTCCCTTTTTCAACCAAGAAATTGAATATCCGAACGGCATCACGGACCCTACCAGCTCTCCCAAAGCTCTCGATAATGTAACTGTAAGTAATGCAATCGGGCTCGATACCATCTTCCACCATTGCCTTCAAGAACTTCTCGACTTCGGAAAACCTACCGGACTTGGACCACCCGCCTATGATGGTGTTATAGGTTTCGCAGCTGAATTGTACTCTGCCTCGCATTTTGTCGAGCACCTTACATGCAACGCCGATGTGCAGGCGTCGGGTGAAGCATCTCAATGCAACATTCAGAGTCGCCTGGTTTTGTTCCAATCCGTAAGTCTCCGATTCTGCGAAAAATTTCGCGGCTTTCGAAACCTGACGGGCACGGAGATAGCTATCCATGAAAATGGAGAGGGTTTCAGGATTAGGGCTCAGCCCCTTGTCCCTCAAATCATTCAACACGCCCACCATTTGCGAGAAAAATTTTCTCCGACCCAATGCTTTGAGCAGAGTATGGTAAGCATCGATGTCCCTCGGCACGTCCGGCCGGTCGACCGCCCAATTAAAGAAGGCGACCATTGATTCTCCGCACAAGCTCCCTCTGTCGAGCACCTGAGCAAATATCCGGCGGTTTAATTCGACGGCAGCGCCGTCCAACGCGCGATGAACGGCGGATTTGCCGCATAGTCTCTGCAGGAAAACACCGCGTAGCTTGTCTTCCGGCGAGAGAAAATCGTCGGCGGCTTTGGTATCCGATTGGGTGTTTGGAGGATTGGGGGTGTGGATTGATATGGGGAGGAGATCGGCGAGTTGGCTCAGTACGCGGGACTCGTCGTGATTCTTGTTTGGGAGACTTTGGGCGGTGGAGAAGAAGAATGAAGAGTGATGATGGTTCAGTATTGATTTGTGCTTCTTCAAGGTGTTTGATGAAATTCCTCTGAGAAACATGTTGCAGTTTTGGCTTTTTGGGAAGCTTTGATCCATACATTTTGTTATTGTTGGTCCAAAAATTAGAATAAGACATCTAAAAATGGGAAAATTGCATTATTTTGTTTATAAAAAAAAAATAAATATTGTGTATTAATTATTAATATAAGAAGTGTAAGAGGAGGATAAAATACTTGGATTTTTTTTTTTTTTAAATTACAGTCTATTAATTCAATTTTCGGAGCAACTGGATATAAATAAAATATTGGATTTGATTATTAAAGTGAGATATTTTGAATAAAATTGATAAAGTGAAATTTTGAATTTTTAGATAAATAACATTTAAAATTTAACTAATAAAGTTGATGTTATGTAAAAGTAATACAATTGAACTACTTTTGATGGAGGTTAAAAACTACTTTTTATATATATTTTTTTTTTTCTCTTACTATGGTTGCCATATCTAATGAATATAATTACATCACAAGCCAATTTGATTAGTAGAGACTAATCACCCCTATATATAATTCCCGAATGCGCTGAGCCTACGTGGCTGCTTCTGGTGCTTCGGAATCCTACTTGGCGAAGAATCATGCTTCGTAATTAGGTTTGGACAAATAATATTGATATATTAATAATTAATAATCTAGATTCGGACATTCTATAAATAATATTTAGCTAACTTGGATATATTAATATCACTTGTACTAATATAACCCTTTAATTTTTTGTAATTATACATAGTGAGCCTAAGTGACTAATATATCCCTGACTTTTGATTTGTTTCCTTCAATTAGCTATAGAATTGTAAATTTATTTTTAAAAGTTAACAACTTTTTTATTTCTTATCGGTTTTACATATATAATATATCAAATTAATCATCTTTTGATGATCTTCGATTTGACATCCATATTGTATATATGAAATAAATAAATTATATTTATCTTTATAATAATAAAAAATAATAATATTTATTAAAATTCATAAAAAAATAAAAATATTTCTCAATTGATATATTTATGCTTATAGTAATTATATTTATAAGTTAAAAAAGTTATTATAATATAACACAGGTAAGTCGCACAAATAAAAAATGTCATACTAAATATATAATAATATATATTTATACTTTTTCTTATTATTTTAGATTTTAAGAAAAAAATTAGCAAGCAATACACGGGCGTTGTACTAGTAATAATAATAATAACCCATGCAAAAGCATATGTTATTTACACAACTAATATGAGCATCAATATATTAACCAATTGCATGTACTGTCTGAGAAAAACTGAGATAGATATCAGTCATCAACAAGAATAGGAGCCTTAGGAACCAACTTGTTGATTGGCAAGCAATCCCAACCATTGCCCTTGGCATGATCACAAGATACCCTGAAATACTTAGGGGGAAAATCATCATCTTTCGACTTCCTCTCCCGCGCGAGCTCTCTCTGCCTTTCCTCGACTCGAGTCTTGGCTTCCCTTGCTCTCTCCCAGCTCTTTTGCAGAATGGCTTGGCTCACGTCGGCCCACACGAGAGTCGACTCGCTTTCTGAAACGGCCTGAATCGAATTTATTAAGACAAACATTTTTTGAGTTATCAAAAGGTTGTTTTTGAAGTTTTATTTGTGTACTTACTACAGTACCATCACAAACTGATTCTATTATTTGAAGTATTATTTGTGTACTTACTACAGCTTTTTTCATGTTTTTTATGAAATTACTACAGTACCATCACAAACTGATTCTATCAATGTGGTGTTTTAACTATGGATTATCTACCCTACGCTAACCTACATATGTATCTAAAGGCTAATAATAACCACATAATCATTATGTGACGGGTCTATAGTGATTCCCGTTTTTTGTAATGATAAAACTTTGCCTACCTCGGGATCCTTAACAACGGGGGTCTTCAAACCCGAAAGTGCCTCGTTCGCATCGTAGATGATCGTTGTCTTCCCGGTCGAGACATCCTTTGCCGTCACAATCCTACGTACATAGAAAACGAGTACGTAAAAAAAAAAAGAAAGAAAATAAATAACTAATTTTCTTGAAGTTTATGTTAAGATCTATACTTGTCCCAATGGCCATTGATATCGTAAATGGTTTCTAATGTCGACGAAATAAATATTTTCCCTTTGATCGACCTGTGTATCGATGGACGAGGCAAAAACGAGTTGCCTCTATAAGATAGCTCGGCCTCGAGCCCGGTCTCTTCACACCGGACGTTCACATTTCCTAACCAGTCCACGCCGGGCAAAGGCAAGAATCTTATGACGAGATTAGGTGAGTTCATTACATAAGTTTCGTTCTTGTCCAGAAGCTTTAGCTCTCGTCTCCCGAGGACCTCGGTCTCAATGTGAGTCCCTATGACACAACACGAAATATTTTTCTAAATTGCATTGCATATAGACCCATGGACTTGTGCTCGGTCACGCACAAACATACCTCCTCGATAAGTTTAATTTGTAAAGTAGAGTATGTTTGGGGGGGGGGGGTATTTGTATATTTTGACAACGTTGTGGAAATACCGTAAAAACTCGGTACGGGAGATTGACACCACGTGAGCTCGATTTTCGCTTTTTCGTCGGTAGCATGAAGGGCCGTCACAGGTGGATGGTGCGAAACCTGAACCGGAAAAGAGGCCAAATTAGTGTACCATTTTTGGGAAAGAGGCCAACTTAGTCGAGTGGACCAGAAAGAAACGTTTTTTTTGCCTCCACTCGACTCTAACGAGTAATCCTCAGAGGTAGTATTTGTAATTTCTATAGATAGTCGGGAATTATCGTAATTCAACCGAAACATAAGTTAATCCCTGAGAATCCCCTGCCTCCCTTCAAACACATGATAAGGCAAAGGCACACACTACTAAAAAACTTGACAAAAAGGACCCATAAAATTAAAAAACCAACTCTTTTACCTGTTCCAATAGCACATTTAGTGTCCCCTTAGAGACATGGTGAATTTCACCAAGAATCGGGTTATAAGGGGCCACGCCAAAAGGTAACGGGCGCACAGTTGAAATGCTCCACCCGATAACTGACAAAAACCGGCTAATGGCCGACTCTTCCTTCGAGCATCTGCCTAAAATATCTGACCCGACGCAGTAAACCGATTCCCCATAGCACTGAAGTTGGGACTTTGGTATATTAAACTGTGGTGGAAGCTGTTCATAATCAAGAACAAAAAATGTTGTTAATTAAAGAACCAATTTTTCTTGCTTTTTTTTTCACAAATATAATCCGAAAAATCAGGATATGCTTGCCTGAAGACGAGTGAGGTCGGATCCTGGCCGTACATTATGGAGAAGGCTTAGGATGCGTTGGATGATGTTCGGAGCTCGATAAGTAGAATCCGACGTATCTGAATCTAGAGATAACGGTGCTGTTATTACAGCTTTCGTACCTAAATCGCCTTCTGTTACCTTCATCATCATGTTAACAAGATTCTAAAATTTATTGATCAAAATTCTAAAATTTTACTAAGTATTTTGTTTGTGTTATATGGTGCAAGGAGATTGCAGAACTACCAGAACGTCATGTCATGGCAAATGAACAAATAGAAGAAGAAAAAAAAAAGGATGGATGGGTTTGTAATATAATTATAAGTATATAACTAAACCACCATGTTTGAATGTGTTTTATTATTCCCTAGCTATGGTGAATTTGGAGTTGGTACAAAGTATGTGGGGACCTTTTAACTTTTTTTTGGTAAAATCCAATCAACATTTGGGAAATGCTACAGTCTCGTTACGGAATCATTCCGTCGAGATTTGTAACCGTTAGTTCATCATGTAACCATCGTAAAAAGTTGATCTAACGGTTACGTACCCTGACCGAATGGTTCGATAACGGGACCCTAGAATCTCCCTCAAGATTTACTAGGTGGTGCTGGTTATGAGCATTATCAGCACATAGTATCACCCCCTAAAAAATAATAATAATATAATAATAATAATAAAACAAAAAACAGTATGTCTCAAGATACAAATGTCACCTAAAAGTTGTGTGCTTGTTTACTTGTTTTTATGCTTAAAAGTTGTATGGTTATGGGTGGAGCAAGAGGGGTATGTGCAATATAAAATCTATACTTGTTTACTTGTTTTTCATGCTTATTAAAAGTTGTATGGTTATGGGTGGACCAAGAGGGCATGTGCAATATAAAATTTATACTAGAAATAGTATGATTTGCTTGAAAATATATATATATATATATATATATATATAAATTCCACACAATTATAATTGATCTTGACAAAATTAAGAGATTTAATCATTAATAAAATTTTCTTATCCTAAATTAGTATGTTTGGTCAAGTCATTCATTAATTTTCTTTATAAATGACCTTAAAATGCATGGTAATTGTATTTTAAATTATATATAATATGTATTGATTTAACTTACAGGCTAGCTCTAACGGACTTAGGGTTCGTACATTGATTAAAATAGATGAAAAAAATAAACCATTCAATCCTATTATTTTAGGGCTAGGCCCCTATGGAGCTTGGTCATTTAAAATGCATATATTTACAAAAAGCATCAAACAAAATAAAGAAATCCTAAATTAAATTGCACAAAAAGCATGTCCATGTGAATGTGATGAAACAAAAATGTGAATACATTATATACAAACTACAAAGTGTGTTCTTATGCTTTTATATAGGGAAAAGTAAAGTAGAGGACAAAAAAGATCAATTAACATTAATTAGACTGTTAACATTAATGTTAAAGATCAATTAACAAATTAATGTTAAAGATCAATTAAATTTCACGATAAAAAAAAATTGAAAATTAAACTATTAACATTAACGTTAAAGGTCAATTAACATATTAAGTAAAGATAATATGAATTAAATATATTGTCAAACTTGCATTTCTTTCTTAATTTAAACAAGGCAAAAAAGTCCAATTTAAGTTACGTTAGACGCAAGAGTTACGTTAGACGCAAGAACAAGCAATAAGGCAACTTGCCATTTACCTGTGAAATATCTTTCCGTGCTTAAAAATATGTACAAATCTAACTTTAATTATTAGTCAAAAGATTAGCTTAATTAAATACACATGATTACAAAATATAAGGGGAAAAAATATTCGTCAAATTTGAATTGAATCTTATTATTCCTTATTTTACATAAAATTAATATATATTCCTCCTCAGAAAAAGTGCCCACCAAGGTGTCCACAGATTAAATACATATTCAACTTGTAAGCAATTTCTTATAATATTTCTTCAAAATATGAACAAAATAAACTAAAAAAAAAAAAAGCCCATTAATTTTGAGTTTGCAATCACTTTTGTGCTGCTACCCAGAAATAATGATCAACACTTACCAGAGCTTATGGTATCATATTTTGAACTACAAAGCTAGCACAGAATAATTCAATTCAAGTCAAACTAGTCAACACACAACATATATGCCACAATATACACACACATATATATATATATATATTAATATTACAAAAATGAAAAGAGAGAGAGAGAGAGAGAGAGAGAGAGAGAGAGAGAGAGAGAGAGAGAGAGAGAGAGAGAGTACCATGGTTGAGAATGGAGAAGCAGTGTTAAGACTTGAGAGGGAGAGAGATTATTGTTGTCTTATGGAATTTGTCGAATCAAATTAATGGGTTATTTATATATCAAGGCCCTTCGCTTTCTTATTACTTTCCTAAATAACATAAATGGAAAGTGTGAAGAAAAAGGTATTATTATTATTATTATTATTATTATTATTATTATTATTATTATTATTATTATTATTATTATTATTCTTATTCTTATTATTGTTTTTGTTTTTGTTGTTGTTGTTGTTGTTGTTGTTGTTGATGATGATCGAGTGAAGTGAACCCAACTTATTGATTCATAACTTTTATGTATGAGCAATTTATATATTTATTAGTAAAAAAAATAATAAGTGGATAAAATACAGAAAAAAAAGGGAGAGTGGACCAACATAAAAAGCACGTATTCCTTGAATACGTTTTCTGTATAATTTAATTGAAAAACGTATTCACTGAATACGTTTTTCACATTTTTTTACAAAGAAAAATGTATTCACAAAATACATTTTCCAAATAATTTTTTCAAAAGCCGTATTCAAGAAATACGGGCTTTTGATTCTTTTCCACCTCTTTTTTCTTTTTTTTTTTTTTTTTT